ATATGAATCTAAGAAATAGAAGGAAACGAAGATTATGAGGATAAGGGGGATAGATAACGATTGGAGAAAGATTGACTCATCACTCTCTACTTTTATCAGTGAAGTCGAACAGGGTTTATGAATTCACCAATGTTTTTTTTGTTGTTTTTTCTGTCTGTCCGCAGAGTATCTTCAAAATTCTCAACGACATTTTTGTAAAAGGGAAAAGAGACAATTCTAGGGCGGATCCACAATTATTTTTTGTTTCATTGAAATAATATCATATATATTAAGTACAGTTACCTCTCCCATATATACTTAGATTTTGCAACAATGGCGTTGGTCGAGATATGTGCTCTCCAAGTGTTTTCTTTTCTTTCTTTCTTTTTTCTTTTTTTTTTTTTTTTGTATATCTTAATGGAAGTTATTTATTTTATAGTGATTGTACACTCGTTATGTAAGTATTGTGGAGTAAAAAAAAAGAAAAAGTATAGATCTCCAGCGAGCCTTGAACACGCATCCTATAATCGCGAGATCATTTTTCCGGAGTAGTTGCTTTATCAATTAGACTATGAAATGCAACCAGCAGATCCACTTTAAATTTAGACTGAAGGCTACATTTTTTCCTCGTCCCGTTCAGACAGGCTTCTAAGAACAAGGGATATCAATTCATTCTTGTTATAATCTTATTTTTTAGGTTACCTATTTAACGGTTGCAGAATATAAGAACGACCTGGAAAAAATACTAAAAAGAAACAAAATAAGATGAAAGGAGAACTAATCAAATATTAATAATAGTGTTTTCTACTTTGGGGTGGGGCCTACTGGTTTGAGTCCCAAATCTGTAGTTTCCCAATGATCAAAAACTACATGCGGCAACAAAGCCTCTGATCGGGAGATTGGAGCTTTTGTGGAATGTGGAACCACATCTTAATTACTGTTGTTCCCAAGTTCATCCTGAACCGGTGTGATAGCACTTAATAGGGTCCCAGCTATGGGAAAATAGTAAACCCCCAGACAAAAACATAATACTATGAAAGTATAAAAATACATTTTTATAGTAAAAATATCAGCAATACTTTTTTATATGAAAAATACAAATAATACCTATTTATAGTAAAATTACCAGGGCACCTCGAGGCGGTGTAATGGTTAGCAAACTTGTCTTGCTAGAACAATTACGATTGAGTAGTGAGTTCTATCCTCACTGGGCGCCCCATACTTTCGGCCTTGTGCCACATCTAAGCTACGCTTGGAAGATCCCTATAGTAAAATTACCAGCAATACATCAATCAACATAAAAGAACCTTCCTTCATGACATTAATCCATATAATATCCGACAATTTCTTAAAGAAATTAAAAAAATATAACTTCAAAATAAGAACATAAAAACACACATATTACCGCCTTTAGTAATTATGTTTGCACAAATATATTTCTGCACAAAAGCTGAGTATCATCTACCATGCATTCAATTGTGAAAGCAGAATAACATACATCATATTTTTATGACTTCTAAGCCCCCAAGAAAAATTTTCGGCATTAAATGACCCATAAGGAGTTGATATGCCGTTAAACAAATCGAATCGATTGATCAATAACAACAAAATACAGGAAATTGTGAAGAAGGTCCCTCGCGATTTTCAAGTGAAACTCGAAATAATAGGGAACAAAATCATTTCTCTTAGTCTAGTCATGTCTTCTCCTCTTAAAATATTCGAGCAACATAATCTTCCTTTAGTTGGGTTTGTATCATATTAAGCTAAATTTAGTAAATATTTGAAACCGTCACTTCTGATCGTCCTGAAAATGCGCGAATAAACATTGATATCGACAAGATTTTGCTGTCCAGTGTCTTCACTGATGAAAAAGACTTGAAGCAACAGAAATGTTATTCGACCGACAATTGAATATCGTGAAAATTAACCCCGAGAATTTCTTAAAAGGCAATATGGAGTACAAAGAAATTTCTATTGACAAACATAAAAGACGGAAGAAACTTTTCAAACACGTGAGGAAATTATCGATACTCGGACATTTGGGCGATGGCCATTTTTTTTTTTGTTTTTTTTTTTTTGACAGGCTTTTTTAAAAGTCTATTCTGCACATATATTTATTTCAAATATTACTGTAAGATGATAAGTATTTTGAGAAAAAAACACTTTTTACTACAGCAAAAATCTTTCAATTTCGCTTTTAATGATCATTATCTTAAAGGGATGAACTAGCTTTTATCTTACTGTTAAATACGAATTTAAATAATTAAGTACTACTTTTTACCCAAATACACTCAAATATTTTTAAAAATATTAATTTCAATGAACAAATATTGAAATAAGAAAACTTTTAATTTTAAATTTAGATTTAGTAATTTAATCACTTGAAATTCAGTTCTAATTATTAGTCCTATTCTGTCTTATAATACTACTAATTAAAATACTTAAAGTATTGCTTGTTACTATTTTTACTTGTACTTTTTCGGTAAAAGGTCCGTCGGCCAAATGTCTGTCGATCAAATGTCAGTCGGCCAAATATCCGGCCACGAAATTATGAATATGCAGATAACGTAACGACTATGCGATAAGTAGAAAGTGGATTCGAGGAACGTAATTCAAATTCCAGCCAAGACTTGCTTTCACAATGCACTAAAGCCTTTAGGAAAGGCATGAATCCATCTCTTCTACTTCTAGGCTTCATATAGACTGAGCTCTCTAGTCTTAGGTGGCCGTCGGTCTAAAAGGTCTACTCTGAATTCAAAAACCATAAAGAAGGCAACGGGAAACCACTTCATTATACAGGGTGTCAGCCCAAAATTGACATAATTTAAAATGTGAATGTCTGACTTACAGGCAAACGAAATTAAATATGCTTCATGTTAAGCAATAAAAAAAATTAGTTATCAAAATTCGAACAAGATATTCAAAGAGATGTAGATTTTATAACCGATTCCACAAAGCTTCACAAATGTTCAATATGTAACACAACACATGTTCAATTGTAACACATGTCAAGTCGGTAGTCCAGCTCCTGCCAAATACGCTGTAGAATGTCTTGCGTAACATTCTCCAGTGCCTCAGTGATTCTCGGCTTAAGTTCCTTTAGGCTTGTAGGAATAGAGGGATATAGTCCTTTCATATAGCCCCATAAAAAAAATCAACCAGTGTCAAATCAGGTGAATGTGGTGGCCATTTCAACAGCATATTGTCATTATAACTGGTACTCCTATCTTCCTGGTAGATTCTCATTGAGATAATTCAGCACAGTTAACATAGTTTTACACGTTTTGTTAAAACTTGAGATTATTTGAGCGAGAATTGGTTATGTTATTAGACTACAAAATAGTGTCCATTTTTGTAGGGGACACTCTGTATTTGTCAAAAGCTCGTGGCAAATCATAAGTATTAGAAAGGACCTAGAGCAATGATCGCCTATGCCTAAAGGGATATAACATAAATACGAGGAAAGAACGCTTGGAGAATTTAAAACTCGCTGGGTTATTGAAGGTAACAGAAACAGAGGTAAACATCGAGTACTTTAGTGATAATTGTTCGGATAAGCTCTTCGCTATGGTAGCTAGATTTATGAATTTAAGGGCAGTACTAGATTGGCGTCGAGATCTCATCAATCTACAGTTGAATTATCTAGATGCAACCGTAAGTTCTATGCTAACAATTTCTTTTCTCGCTCCTCTCACTTGCGGAAATTCTTTTCCGGTCCCATGCTTTCCAGCCAACTTTAATCTTCAAAAATTTAAAAGCAATGTCAATCGCTATCTACTCTCCTCCTGATTACTCTTCTGTTGTTCTCGCTCTTGAGTAATGTTTCTGTTTCTGATGCTTCCACAACCCTTTATCCGGCTCCATGCTTTACAGCCAACTTTAATTTTCAAAACTTTAAATGCAATGTCAATCGCTATCTACTGTCCTCCTGATTACTCTTCTTTTGTTCTCACTCCTTAGTAATGTTTCTCTCTTCTAATTCTTACGCCCAGTAACTCCTTGTGTCCTAGTGGCTTTACTGTATTGCCTGGGGTGAACTTGATTTAAAAAATACTACTCGACAAGTCTAAGTAAACAGATGGCCGACCAAAGGCCACAAAGGCAAAGCGGAGACTAAACGACTTCCAAATTATTTTCCTGTTTTATTCTTGTTATATGCGGCCTTGCGTTCTCATGGATGAAAACAACATTTTCCTTTTAATCCACTGTGTATGCTGCCACTGCCCTTATGTTAGTGTACTAGAAATTTATTCTTAAGTGCTATATATGATTAAGAGTTAGGATGATATATTCGTCACGACAATGAATTCTCTAAAATGGAAATTATTTATGACTTAACCTAATACGTAATTACTTTCCGAGCATCCTAATATTTCACTTTAATTGTCACATTTTTCTTTTGTTCTCACTTATGCTGATCACAAAAATAGCTCCAAATGAATGTTTTATAAAGACTGATTTTTTTTCTTTGGTTCGCAAAGAATGTGCGTTATTTACAATATGACCTTCGTGCTGAAAAGGTCAGAGACCGATGCGTTAAACTTTGTAGAAACACTAAGTTGTTTTGATAGTTCTCTTTGCTCTTTTCACTGAATAAAAATATACTACGTAAAAAAAGATGGGAATTCGTTCAAAAACATTTCTTAAAGATTATTTCTATTTTACGAAAAAGCCAAGCGGCTGGGCAAAATTCCACGATTACACGTTATCTCGTTTCATTTCAATCCCGATGAAAATATAGCTGAAATAAAGATATGATTTGTTTTTACGGCTTATTATTAACCCTTTGGCAGGCTATTTAAAGCCATAAGATATTTTTAGATTGTAAGAATTTTTTGGCTATGTTTTACTGATACAAGTCCTACTAATTAATCCATAGTGGGGTGAGAGAAGCGGTGGATTCATATCTCTCCCATGGGCATTTGCACATATGCGAATATAACGAACCCAACTGGAATTGGATCTCAGCTATCCGAATTCAATTCCGAGTCCGTATCCATTACACCACCCACGCATCCAAGCTTACAGCACCTGGTATTCCCAAACGGTCACTAGGTACTGACCAGGCTCGACGTTGCTTAACTTCAGTGATCGTACGAGAACCGGTGTTTCAACGTGATATGACCGTAATCCTCATGTATCATTAGAACCACTCATGAAAATGATTAGATTTCCAGGGTGATATTTAGATAGTAAACTGTTGAATGGGCGCCGAAAATTTTACGACGAGGAACTAATATGGCGGTTGTTCTCATAAACTAGTTAAAAAATGGTAACTTTTGAGCAAATACATTCTTTGTGCGATTTTTTTTAAAAACAGTCTTGTAATCAGTTAATAGATAGGTGGATTTGAGAGGTAGAAATCAGAGAGGTAGAAATTTTATTAGTAATAGAGGGATACTGACTATTTTTCCCTATACACATGAAAAAATAGTTTTTTTTTAATTTCAAAAGAGGCATCTTTTTTTTTCCTGTAGAGTATCACATTGAAAATGTAATGTTATCTCAGTAAACGTTTCATAAGACTAATTTTTTTGTATGAAAAAATAATTCTTCATTCACTTCTGGACTCGACCAATCGAGGGTATGTGGTTTTGAGCCTTTCTTCAAACATTCGATCTTCTTGCAAGGGATTATTTCGTCGTCTTATTTAAGTTAGTGCTAGCACCGACATCCTTTGAGACCCAATACCGCATTTGTTGGCTTTGAGATCACCTTCCAAGTAAACTCTCGGTGATCTTAGGACGTTCTGACACCAAATACAAAGCTGACTTTGGTGTCACTTAGAGTGAATCCAATACATATTTGGGTCAACATAAATCAATGCTTCGTAGATCAAAGATTCCTGATGTATATTAAATCAGATTCAAACGTTTGATATTTTCTAACGTGAATCACATACTACAGAAACTTAAATGTTACTGACTCTATTCACAGATGGAAAATAAAAGCGTAGCACTTTGAAGAATGATGCTGATTTTAATCTGGGTACAGTATGTACACTCTGAGGTATTCTGATAAAAAAAGTTTTAAAGTTTTCATTCAACTTCAGGTATAGTCACACTCATATAAGTGCACCTGTATTGAAAGAGTCAAGTGCATACAGATTCCAAATCACGTATTCCTTTTATTTAATTACAACCGTTTGAGAAGGAATGGACTGTGGGCTTTTGAGAGGTTGGATGGTCAGTTTGAGGAATTGCTGTCCATGCAGGGAGTGATGCATTGGTAGTGCTTCGCTATTGGCAACAGTGGTTAAATTAACAGTTGTTCACTCAGAGACCAGGTTTTGAACGGCATATCGTACAGTTGCTAGCCAAAGTACTTCAATGTTGACATTAAATTTCTGTATGTCCTTTTAGTATAAACACTCAAGACTGACGCAGTGTAAAGAAAGCAGTGGCAGACTGCAAAGCATCCACAGTACATGTCTTCGCCCACGATATGCTTAACGCCTGGTGTTATGATATGGGGTATCATAAGTTACTCGCTTGGCTTTAGTGCTGATCAAGGGAATGTTGAACAGTCCCATGTAGGCCCAGAATATTGCTAAACCTGTTCAGCTCTTGTTTTCGCAAGATAATAATGACCTACCTTATACTACTCAACACGCTCTGTAAGACGTTCAACAACTTTTGTGGCCGACATAATCGCTAGACCTATCTCCCATTGAACATATATGTCGCATGATGGGATGTCATTTGACTCGTTCATTTAGCCCACCAACATTTTATACTGTATTGCGTCAACAGGTGCAAGAGCTGAACAATCGTATGTGAGCAAAATCATGGGTCTGTATTAGCGCTTAAGGAGTATAGACACATTATTATTATTATTATGTGATTATTATGTGATCTGAGAAGTGTTTATAAACCTTAGATTTTGGAACCTGTAATGATCTTGTGTGCGTTATGTTTGGAGGCCTGTACAGTTTAGAAAACCTTGACTTTTCAAAAAAAATGATTTGACAAAAGACTAGGAAATTCACCTGATATCAATCCTGATGAAAATCTTGGCGCCATCATGAAGGGAGCTCTTGAAAAACAGCAGCAGCGTTCACGACAGAATTTGACGCAGGTGATTGGTGAAAATTTGGAACAGTTCAAAAGGAGAATGTGACATTTTTAGAAAAACACTTGGTATGTTTAGAATTTGGATTTCCCAAAGGCTTCTGGTGGCAGATCAGTTAAAAAGGCTGATAATACTTTGGGATTGCGTTCCTTATTAAAAACCGTCATCATAGAAAATAACAAAGTACTGAACTCTTAAGGGTTGTAAAAGCTGATACTCACAGGACATACTGAAGGCAATAGAGACAGAGAAAAGCTAACGCGCTTTTGTAAATGTTTGACAGAACAACGATTAAGAAAGATAGCAAAAAGACAAACGTTACTAAAAGCTACATAGGACAGGAAGTTGTGAAGAGCTATGATCACCCATGTTCTGAATGGACACGACATCTAAAAAAAGAATCTATATGTCATTAATATAGTTCTTATATTATATTTTCCGTTACAAACTAAAATAGAATGAGGAGAAAAACAAGTCAAAATTATTTTTCCGTTTATTGATATTAATAAAGTTCTTGTAAAATCTGTTTGATATTCACTGTTTTCCTTAATGCCTCGGAAGAGAAGTGAATAGAAATTTTCTACAGTCACAAAATTTCCTTGAAGAAAATTTGTGATTAAATACCCATATAATGACACCTTATTTCACGAACGGAACGGAATACCTGTAAGTAAAGGTAATGAAAAACATGGCTGGGTAGCTGAGTCGGGGAGAATAGATAGATTCATAATTTTCCCTAGTGAATATAATGAACTCGACTGGAATTCGATTACTCAATCCGAGCCGCTACCCATTACTCCACCGTACCGCCGAAATACTAGGCATAGTAATAAGCATCTACGATTCAATATCTATCACGAAAATTTTATAAAACAATAACGCTTTTAAATAGCAAGATACAAAACACTATTAAAGAAGGAGCAATATTTGTTTATATTTTTGTTGCTTATTAATGTGACTAACATATGTGTTTACTCGACTTTGCTTTACCAAAAAGGTTCGATAGGGTGCGCTATTTAAGTCTATAAAAAGGCAAACATATTTTCTCTCTTTCTCTTTTTTCCACTTGCTTTTAGGTGTAGTTGATCGTAAATAAAGAACCCTGTCGAAGGGGCGCGTTAACTTCCTTGGTTCTCTGTTAACTGAACTCTCGAACACACACACGCGCGCACGCGCACGCACGCACGTACACATACACACATTAAAACAAGCATATTCTTATAACGTGGTTTAAATTCCATGTTTTGTGTTACTTGTTTTACCGGGACTCACATAAGTCCGCCAATATTATTTGCGGGAAAAATGTTCTAGGAGCCGATAAATGTTTCCTATAAAATGTCCATACACTCGTATCAAAATTGTTGATTCCCGCTTGTAAACAGCACATATTTTTGAGACACGTTTGCTTCAAATACACTGTTGATTAGTGTTATATAACGTACCTATAAACACTAATGGGCATGTCCCAATCCTCAGAAATATGTTGGACACTATTGTAAGTGGGGCTAATATGCTGTCTAAGTAGTCCACCAGTAGCAGTGGTTTACCTACTTCACGCCGCTGGCGAGTATTTTATTTTGCTGATGTTATAAAGATTAACATTTCATTTCCAACGGCCGTTTTGGTTATTCTTCATTCAGTAACCTTTTCTAAGTTACAGCAATTAGATTTGAAAAATCTGCTTGAGGGACAGATGGAAGATGACGATCTCAATACGTTGAGCTACCGATCATAACGTAATGGTTCACAAAAAGCAGACCAATTTGCTAATGCAGTGACGTTCGATCTGCACTGTCTATGACCTTGTTTCAAACTAAGATAAGTAACTTTGGTAACTGACGACATAAAAGACACACGATCATATTAAACGTAACTCTCTCCCCATTTTAGCCGGGCATATTCAAGAAAGAAACGCTGAGTGTATTTAAACATGTAATCATTATGCGGTTATCGGCGTGAAATGTGTGATCGGTGTGCGGAGTTCAAATTACTGTCGTTCACATTGCGTTTACTTTCGCACCTATATCCCTGGGAAATGTATGAAGAAATCTTTTAGGCTTTTTCCAGTTTGGGGTTAAAAGGACTGTGCTCACTAGTCCCGGTTGGTAAAATCTTATTTGCTACAGAAACCACAGCAACAGTAACATCGAGCGTGGTGTGGCTGTGGCCCTGTTTTCCACAGAGGAGTATGGCACTAAGGGAAAGAAGGAAGTGCATTATAGAACAAAAGTACTTCAGCTATAACAAAACATTACTGTATATAAAAATCAATACCAGTACAACTGAATATAAAGCAAGTTATCACAATACAGATAATATCCTACATATTTACATTAATAAAACAACGCGACAGAAAACCAAATTAGAAAACATTTTATAGAAAGTTAGCTAGAGCTGAGCATAAACCAAGGCACAGTTTTATCATTACCAGTATTTCCTTTCATTTATGTTTCTTTCTTCTGTAGTTACTGGTTGGTTAATGATAGGAATCTGTTGAGACATGTCTAGGTGTGATAGATCAGCTGGCCCCGACGAACGTCGCCGGTACTCTATTACGATATTTTCTCTTGTAGCAGTAACAATAATAATAATAATATCTTTCGTGTAAATAATATTATAGAGTCGAATATGTAGAAGTGATGGTCTGAGGTAAAATTATTGCCTAGGAAGAGGATAAAATTAGCCTAAAGAAGATCTCAAATTGACATTTAAGATGCAGGAACGTTTGGAGGCATTCTATTGTCAGAGAAAAGTGCGTAATATATGCAATATATTCAATAACTTAAATAAAAAGCTTCTATTAATTTATTGCTAAATGAATTTGATATTATATAAAGAGAATAGAGATTAAAGTACTATATATTTTAAAAAATAGATGAATCGACTTTTCAAGAGCTAAAAGCACAAAACAATATTAACAAAACTGTACACATCATTTGTTAAATATTCATTGTTTTTACAACACAACTTATACAATTTGATGGTCATTTTTATGTACACAAACACACTAACATAACACAATAACGTCAAGGGAGGCCAGTCAAAAACATGATAACCA